AGTCTGGTTTTTCAACTTAAATTGTAAATTTAAAAGCATTTGTTATAGTTAGAAATGTGGAATGGGTAACCTATATGCAAATATATTAAAATACTTACGAGGTGGGTGAGAGTTAGATTGAACCAAAAGAGAGAAAAATTGATAGAACAAGAAAAATTAATCAAGAGCCCTGCTTAATTCATTTACATCTACTTTATAAAAACGGGGCAGGTTTCCTAACTTTTTTCACTATGACTTCATTCTATGGAAATTAGAGTCTCAATTTAAGACCAGTATATTAATTCAACTTAGACATATATTTCTAACTTTAAATTTACTATAGTGTTTTTTTGCATAAGGAATCCAAAAGCATCAGAGATTGATAATTTTTAAAATCTGCAAGTATTTCATCATTATTTCAACCGTCACTCTAAATCAGTTTCCACTTGCATATAGCATCCTCTCTCAATTTGTGGAGCCTTCTTTACCTTCTGCTTGTCATCAGCAATTTGGGGGACGAGGACATCTAAAGAAACAAAGGCTGCTTACATTGTCATCAGAGTTTGCTTTAATTCTGTAATACATGAATATGTTTTCTGTGTCAAAAGTATATTGATGGTCAGTATGCTAGCTGAAAGATGTGAAGTATTTTCAAAAATATGCAATTAAAAGGTAAACCAGTACAATGCAGAAATTGAAAGCCTTCCAGGAGCAGTCCCTAGAAGCAAGCCAACAGCGCCTGAATGATCATGGTAACTGCCGGCCACCAGCACCCCTGTGTCCAGGCACATTTGCTTTACTTATCTCTGTGCTTCAAATGGTTCTATGAGGTATTTTCATTTCATATTTAAGTGTATAACTGACTTCCCAGGTCAAAGGGGAGTTGGAGCTCATACCCGAACTATTGCTTTGCCCTGACATTCTGTGCCTTTTCTTTACATTAAAAAAAAATAATAATAAATCACACCACTACTTCTTAGCTTGGTGTTTCATCAAGACATTCACATAGACTTTTCCTTTTTTCTTCCAAAATACTAAATAATGGAATAGAAAAGTAGTGGAGAAAAACCTTAATGTGGGCAAATAGCCCCTGAGACTGTGGATAGGACTTTCTGGTGGATTGGAATTTTTAAATTAAGTTAGTGATTTTTATAAATATCTTAAAATTTGGAGTAAATACATTCAACTCCCAAAGTCTGTTTGAGACCTAAGGATCACACTGGGCCCCAGAGCCAGAGGGCAGAATTTGTAATCAGAAGATGTGTGAGTTCCACTTTGGTGCTACCTGCCTCCCTGAGTGGCTGAGGCCAAGATTAACGGGTGATAATCTTCTCAGATTTAATCTAAATGTCTTATCTCAAGTAAACACAGCCCTGAAGTACAGTATCCCAAGACCAAAGAGCATATTTCATATTTTGCTCTATGCCTTAAGTTTTAGTCTAAGGCTGAGATTGCCTATACGTTTTATTATTTGGAGACTTTGTAGACTTTGTAGGAGAGTTTGATGGAGATGTTGCTTTAAACATTCTCCAGTGGTTTTTCCCTTTCTCCTCCTTACAGCTTGTTATCCATCTCCACTCCGTACCTACTTGCTCTATTCAGTTTTTTCTAAACATCATTAAATCTTGGAAGATGGAACAGATTCTGGTTATTTCAAAATTGTTATTTCTTCATTAATGGGGACAATTTGAGAGTCTGCTTTCCATATCAAAGCAGGTATGGTTTTAAGTAAGCGTGCTGCTCAAATGTCAGCAAACACACTGGGATCCGTCCCAGTAATGTGAGACACATGCTGTGGACTGCAGGATCCTCTGGGTAACATTTTACGTTCAACTCCTGCACACGCTGCAGAGCTCTGTACAGGGATGGCGGTCTGTACAACCCTTTCTCCTCATCCAGTCAAAACAAAACGCACCTTTCATGTCTGTACTGACGCAATGCTTCTAATAGCAAGAACACTGCACAGAGTTGTTACCTAGAAAGCATAAAAATCATGCCACAGACCGATTCATGTCTCAATGTTATTCAGATACCAAGTGTCATACACCAGTTCGAGCAGTTGGCACGTGGGGCTGGCGCCCACCTGCTTCTATCATTTAATTTTCCCTCCTGGCAGAAGCAACCCTGTTATTCACTCATATAAAAATCTGTTTCCCTCCCTCCCTCCTACCCTTCCTCTTTTTCTTCCTTTCCTTCTTTCCTTGCTACTCGCCTACTTTCTTGTATTTTAATGACATAGGTTCTAGTCCTCAAAGTCACCAATTTATTGGTAAGAAGCCAAGTTCTTATTTGTAAGGATGCCATTTGAAAGAACAACTTTCACTTTCTAAGTTGTGGGGGAGAGGGCACAACACGATCTTGCTGATGACAGAGAAGTTAATATAGTGTATCACCAAACGTAAACCAAGTAAGGAATAATGTGGAACTCTGCTTATGTTATTCGACGTTTAGTGCTGCACTCCCAATATATTCCACAAACTGGAATTTCTCTGCTGCAGGATAAAAAGACAATAATCGGGGTGGCGCCTGTGGCTCAGAGGAGTAGGGTGCCAGCCCCATATACCAGAGGTGGTGGGTTCAAACTCTGCTCTGGCCAAAAACTGCAAAAAAAGAAAAAAAAAGATAATAATAAACACATGGAAATCTACTCCATACATGTATGAAACAAATGGGTTTTCTACTTGCTTGCCAAAATAATTGTTGTGATATGGTAGTTCAAATTATCCAATATGTAATCATCCACTACAAGAAAAAAAAAAAGGAGTAAGATGGTGATTACAAAGGAGTGGGGTCTGAATTTCTTCTGCCAAAATTGACATGAGCGCATGTCAAGCATGCTCAAGGGCGTGCCAAAAAAACAGCTGCAAACGGCCGATGGACACAGTGAAGTTTCCATCATCAGTGACTGTTCCTTAGCTTTGTAAAGCAGTCATTGCTCGTTGGAATTCTCTAGGTGACCCCAAGAAAGCTGCTTTGCTTCAACATGTCCGGTGGAAATACTGCAGGATCGTTCTAGGCACTGAGATCATTCTCTTTTTATCAGAATAAATGAATGTGACAAGAGAGAAATTCTTCCAGAATTAAAGATTATTCCAATGCTGGCCAATTGGTAGAGAGAAAGGACTTATTTCTCTTTTCTCCCTAACTTCTCTTCTGCACCTAAATTATCACTTCATTTCTGCAATTAATGTTCATTATTTCTCTCCAGGTTTGAAGTTGTTCTGTGGAGAAACCGCCTCTCATGTAAAGTGACGGTGGGTGTTTTCCTTTCTGGCGTTTGTTTGTCATTGTCTCCTAATAAAAGCTAAGTTATGGGGATGTGGAACCTCCTGAGCTCCTTAGAGTTGAGAAAAACTTTAATCAGTTGCAAAAGATACAAAGAAAAATTGGTCCCTACCTCACGGGATGCTGCTTTTCCTCACTTTGCTTAATGTTTGGAAAGTCATTTCTTACATACCAGCAAACGTGGGTGGAATTTTAAACCACGCTGATGTGCCATTTTCTTTCTAGAATGGAAATGCATATGCTTGAAGCAGCATGTGAAGCCTTAAAGAGATGCAGCCTTTCCACTGCAGAGGTCAATAAAGGTCATCGCAAACTCCGCCTGGGCATCTGCTTGCAGTACTGAAGAAGTCGCGTGAATAAGAGCTCACCCAGAGAGTTCTTCAGTCACTGGCTCACTTTCCATCTCTGCGGCTTATCACCCAGCCCTGTTGAAATCCATATTCCACCACTGGTTAGGGCTATGGAAGTGCTCATTTTTACAAGAGTTTACCAGTCAACAACTGAATGTAGTTAAGGTGGGCCCCCCAAACCACTCCTCCAAATTGTGTCCCCAGAAATGCACGTGTCTATAAGTTAAAATATGATGTCAATGTGTACGTGCATGTGCCCATGTGAATATATTTGTATTTACAGGAAAAACAATTTTTTTTAAAAGAACAAAAACTGGAGAATTTTGCATTTTTGGTGTTTTTTTTTCTGTATTTGCGCAGACCATTTTAGGATTTTCAGTCTCAACAAAACACTATTAAAACAAATAATCTAGTAAAATATTTGTGCATGTACTGCTAAACAATTCTAGCAATTTTATTAAGCAATACCTTTATTATTTTTTGAATATTCTTAACAGACTGGAACAAAACATTTTTTTATTCAAAACAAAATATGCATACTTTACGCGTGTCGCAGGGGTTAAGTATGATGCGGAGGTTAAAGTCTATCTGAACAAAAACAGATGCCTGGGGCAATTTCAGAGCTATAAAGTTAATAACTAAATTTTGTTCGCTAAGAGGACCTTTCCTATGCATTTCCTTCATCTCCCAGTCACACCACTAACTTATCTGAAGTGCACTTCCCAAGTATAGTTAGAGAATAGGAAGGAATGTAAAATTTTTTTTCATTATTTGTTTTGTTTCTTTGTTTTTTTTTTTAAAAACAGCCCTTATTAACTCTTCCTTCCACTGATTCTACTGTAAACTCATAAAAGCCTTTTTTAGAAAGCAAATTCATATACACTCAGCAGGTGAAATGTTCCCACAAAGAAAGAAAAAATACAAACAGAGTGATCAGAATTCTCTTTTCATCAACTACCTAGTAGGTTAGAGTGATAAAGTTTTTGCACTTTAATAAAAATGGCTGACCTATTTTTTTTTTGTTTAAGAAGTTGTTCCTCTGTGATAATGCAGAATTGCATACACTTTATACCTGGAATAATTTTAAACGGCGTGTTAGGGGAATACTGGACTAGAATTGTCTATATTCTGTGTACTGCAGGTGTTTGAGCATTCCTAGCGCCTCTTCCACAATAATGAAGGAGGGCGAGAAATTCAGATTTGTGTCCACAATCTCTTGGTTCCCATTACAATGGCCAAAATGTGCTTGTATATTACTGTCACGAAACTTAAATGCAATGAAAGCCCACCTCCACCTTCCAGGGAAAGACTTCCTGACTCCCCACACCCTGATTCTGGATGGCTACCCCTGTCTGAATAATCAACCAGCAAGAAAGGACTGGACCCCTTGGGGACGGGAGCTGGAGCAACCTAGTTCATGATAGCTTTTTTTTCTATTTTGTTTTCAACATAAAAATGTGTTAACTGTCTGATTCCACCTATTATGGAGAGCACTTGTATGTTCAGCATGAAGGAACCCCCTGCCAAGCCCCCTCGGCTCCGCCCTGTTTGGGGTAGTGCACTGGTGGCCCAGAGGCCCAGGGTCGCGCACACCCCTCGCTGTGGTTACAGACAGAAGCAAGCGGATGTTGTTTGCTTAGGGGACCACAAGAGGGCGCGGGAGGGCATGGGTTCCGCGGGTACAAGGGGACTTAGGGTTGGGTTTTTTTTTTTATTTTTATTTTCTGTTGTTTTCTTTTTTTTGTCTTTTTTATTTTTTATTGTTTTTTTGTTTGTTGTTGTTGTTGTTTTTTGCTATACCATGAGGTCATAGCAATCATTCCTCTAATAGAAACTGACAGGACATAAAGACAGAACTATCTGATGAACACACACAATGACTAGAAATATATATAGAGAGATAGAGAGAGACAGGGAAAAGACTTAGTTTACCTCTGAGAAACCATCCCGAAAAATAAATCCTGTATTAACAAGTGCAAAAAAAATAAACGAACAAATAAACCCAAACCAAAACGAAAGCAAATAAAACCTCCAAACATTAAAACACAGTGTATAAAATGGTGTGAGAAATTTAAAGTCACTTGACAGCCTTTTAGTCAATAAAAAGCTGTGGGGGCGTCCTTGTTTGGATTCAGGCCCATTTTTTTTTTTTTTTAATTTTACCCTAAAGGCCTTGCAAGAAGTAATTAGAGGGTAAAAGCACCCAGTTTCTGTGACGTGGACAGCAGTCGCATTTGTCTTGTGGGCCAGCCGCTGCTGCGGGACGCTCGGTCCTTCCTTAGTCCTCGTTGGTGGAGTTTTCCTCCAGCGAGTTGATGCCGCCCCAGCCCAGGCCCGTGGCGTTCTGCGCGGCTGAGGCCGTGAGCACGGTGTGCAGGAGCATCAGCACGAGGACGCACAGTTTGAGTCTGCTGTTGCACAGTCTTGTGGCTGATGACACTGTGAGCGATGTCCTGTGACAGGAGTCACTTTTCTCTACGGTCCCTCGGGGTGGGCTGCTGGACCGCACCTGTCTCCTGACGTCACAGCATTCTGGTTCGTCATTGGTTAGGAAGGTTTCATAGAGCCCTGCGGGGAGAGGACAGGGAAGGGTTAACAGGCGGAGACGTCCGGCAGGGCCCGGGGAGAGCATGGCTGGGACTTCCACTTTCTCATCCTCAAAATCTTACAGGCAACTAAATGTTTTGTTTTTCTACGGAAAGTCAAGTCAATAGGATTAGGATGAATAGCCGTGGACCAAAACCAACGCGGTTAGATGGCTCAGCTGGCCCTTTTCCATTCCTGCCAGTCATACCAGGAACGCTCTGGGCTGTGGTGAACACTGGATGAGATTTCATGAGGCCAAAATCAGAACGTGAGGTTCTGGGTCAACTTGGAGACCACGGATATTCAATCATCCTTTTCTCTTTAACAGGAATATGACGAATTAATGCAGGGCGTAAACTAAATAACTGGTTATGCTAAACAGAACACCCGACCAGTCGCGTCGTCCTGGCCCGAGGAGCCACCACACTGATCTCATCATCCCACAAGCCTCATCCCGTTCACAGGCCCCAGTTGGGGCGAAGGGGATTTCTTTTCAGGTGTTCAATGGGAGATTGGGTCATTTTTATTTATTTTCTAAATATTTTTCCCATTTTTCTCCATTCTTTCCATTTGTTTTTGATTAATGACGCCTGAATTGAGGCCTTTATTATTCTTTCTCGGATCGTGACAGTCTGAGTGCACCTGCTTCTATTCTTCTTCCAATCTAGCCTCCAACTTGGCCTTCACTAACTCTCTCTCTCTCTCTTATGCTGTCACTCTCGTTTCTTTTTTTCTCCGTACTGAATCTTTTTTTATTCCTTTTTCCTCTTTCTTCCTCAGATAATACACATTGTTCTTATTTTAAAATTGATAAATGCATATTTCAAACTTGAAAAGCGGTGAAAAGAATAAAACAACTACGTTATCTATTATTTTTCCAGTATTTTCCTGGTTATATTGCATATAACATTTTTTATGTAGTTATACAAGACCCTGTATATCTTTTTTTTTTCACTTGACTGAAACATTTTCTTGCAGGTGTTAGAAGAAACTTTCAATACAAACTTTGTCCTATTACCCTGATGCTTGAAAAACTTGAAAATGGGGATAATAATGGAGTAGTTGTAAGGATTAAGTGAGAGCTTTTCATGGAAAGTGCTTGAGTCAATGCTTAGCATATAGAAATAACCTGAAAATTTGGCTCCTGGGAATGATAATAGGTATCAATGGCATCTCACCGCCTCTCTCCACTTACATGTATAATCAAATCTAGACCCTTTTCCTCTCTCTGCAGGCTCACTGCTCAATATTCCAGCCATCCTGAACCAGTGGCTCTTTCCACAACACCCAGGTCAGTCTCATCAGTCAAGCTGCTTTTTTTTCTTTTCCTGAAATTTCCTCCATCAACTCATCTATGGAATTCTCATTTATCCTTCCAGTTCAGCCCCCACAAAGCCCTGTGTGAGTCCTGTGCTCACACACTGGGAACCAGTGCACTCTGGATACATCTTCAGTAGAGCAATTTTTATTTCTTTCCTTTAACCACAATTGCTTATTTTCACGTCAGTTTCCTTCATCATTTGTCAATTTAAAAGCATAAACTTACACGTTTTAGGCTTTGCATTCCCAATATGTAGCAGGATACCTGGACAAAGTACTTAATGAGCATTTATTACATGAGCAAATTCAGTATATCTATTTCTTTTAAAAAAGCTCTTAAATAAAATACACTTCAGTCTTCAGTTTCTTTTAAATATATGACCAAGATATCCTTATAATGATGCTTACAATATTCATTTCTTCTTAGGCATTCAAAGGTAAACTTCACCTTCGCCTAGGTAGAACACGAAAAAAAAACTGAATTAATGAGGCCTGCAGCGCTGACGTTTTTATTGTACGATATTTTCTTTTTCCATATAAGATACCTCACTAGTAGACTAGTCACTTATTGCCATATACGTTTTCCAATACTATATTCTATAACAAGAAGAATTTATACCAAGGTTATAAAAATATAAATCCCAAAGTAATCACGATCAACATCTTAGGATGTTTAATAGAATAGGTTTAACAATGTCATCTAAATAAGTTCTTCCAAAGTCACTCGGAAACTAGTTTACTGATTTATAATTAAACCCATCCTAGAAAAAAAAATAAAACAGTTCACTCATGCCAACAAATGAACCCATATTTTTGACTGGCACGATTAATATTCTTTCTTTTTCTCTCTTGACCCTTTTTGTCAACCAGTTATATGAATAACATGCACACGTATTAAAGATCAAATAAGTCCATGGGGTATTTTACAAAACAAGAGAAAAATCAATTCCTCCACCTCCTCCATTTCACACTGCTCCTTCTCAGATGCAAATGTTTTAGCATTAGATGTAGATTCCCCTTAGGAAATGTAGAGATAAAACATTCATTCTCCTCTTTCTTCAAATAGATATACTTCCCTCCAAACCAGTACCCATTCCTCCCTGAATGGCAATTTGGATATTTGGTGTTCCCTTTACAGCATGAGGGTGACGTACACACACCCTCAGCTTAGCCATGTAGGAAGCGCTGGCCTACCCTGTTTCTCTGGGAGCTAATGCTGATCTTGGTCTTTGTCAGATACTTACTAATTCAACCCCACAGACACTGGCAGGTGCTTCAGCCGTCTGGGCTCTATCAGTTCATCTTCCTGATGAAACATCTCCTGGAGCCGCCTACCATCTGGGCTGGTTCCCCTCACGCCCCCGGGCCCAGCTGCCACTCTGGGATTGGGGTTTCCTATCCCGCATCCTGTACCCTGCCACCTCCTTTCCTGTCTTAGGAATCTACAACCCTTCAGGACCTTCAGGAGGAAAAACTCCAGCGGGTGAATTTCCAAGATGCTCCACACCTAAAAATGTTTATTATTTTACCTGTACCTAAGTGATTATTTGACTTGGGATGGAATTTAGGAACTGCCGTCTTTCAGATGTCTTGAAACATTGTTCCTACTTTGGTTGTGGACCTTCAAAACCTGACCTTGGGTCTTCTGCTCGCCCCGACTTTATATTGCTTCGCCCCCTTGCTCTGCTTTCTAGAGCCTTTGGTGGGTTTGGTGTGTAACAATTTTTCAAATTTGTTTTTATTTCCCTGTGATGATTTGAATTTCCAAGATGTTTTATGCCATCTGATGTTGTTGTTTTTTTAAGTGACTGTTCTCATTTCAGGATGACAATGTATATTTCTACCCTCTGAGATAACTAACTGTGGTGCCTGGATGTGTTGTGTTTTATTCCCTCCCAGAATGGACTCCCTTTTCTCTGTGTTACTCCACCCTACGTCTGTTTTCCTCTTGTTTTTCACTTGGGCAGGATATGCATTCTTGATTGTCTGCACGTACTAATGTGTGCTGGAAGTCTGGGCATCTAAGAGAGGTAGTTGAGGATGAGCTAAACTGTGGGATGACATGCCTGTTGTGTTTAGATGGGAAACTTTAAAAATTCTGTCTTTAGGCTCATTGGATTCCCCAGAAAATTCTTTCTGGTGTCTGTCTGGAGGGGAAGGCCAGATGCCAGTTTTCTGACAGTGAAGGGGGAAGGAGAAGCTGGGGATAGGGTCTCTCATTTCACTGAGGGCATGGGCTTGTCATGTTTGGAAGGTCGTTTTGAGCATTCCATGATCTGTTATATTCTAAAATTGCAAGAAGATGGTATTTCCTTACAGCTTCTTTTGCTGAATCCTTCGATCTGGAACCAAGTTTTTATCCTATTCTACACATGGTTGATAATCAATCTTCCCCTCACTTACACTATGGTGTTTTGCGTTGTTTTCTTCAAACAGCTGATATTGGATGGATCTTGGCCCTTCTGTATAATATTTTTCTGTTGTCTCCTATAATTGTCAAGTCTTTCCAAGAGGCAGAATTCTCCCTCAAGTTAGTGAACTGGGAAAAAGTAAACAAATTGCAGCTCCCTTTCCACCACTACCCGCGTGGATAGAAAGCTTAAACCCGAGGGTTCTTACATCCATCTCCGCTGGCTCATTCAGTGTCTTTAAACAAAACAAGACCCCTTTTTTATTGGAGAGATACCACCACAATATATGTAGAAATGGGGGTGTCCAGGCAGCTCAGATGTCTGCCTATCACCTGGCCTCTCGCAGGCCATTTCTGGCCCATTTTGTTCTCTTGGTCCTTGTCATTGCCGAAAACCAGTCCTAATCCACAGAGGGTCCCGTGGGAGGATGGTTCCCAGCTCTCCTGCTGTCTATGTTTTAGAGTTCAGTCTGAAAACTCTCAACTCTGCAATCTACCTTTTTTCTTTTATACCTTCTTCCTAAAGTATCGCTTCTCGTAGTGTTCCACTTTCTAGGTTTTATTGCTTCTGTGACTGTATCACATTTTGTAGTTTTTAACTTCCATTTTCATAGCATTTGGAAACAAATGGGAAGCAACATTTTGGCTTCAGCTCACCAGCTAGAACAGCGGTCACCCTCCTACTGAACACAATCACTTGTTCGTTACCAAGACAATTTTTTGCCACCATGTAAATCCCAATTTCCTATTGCAGAAATGGTGTTTGAAATTAGTGTCTTAACTGCGCCATCTCTTCATGTGACACTGGCTACAGTTGTGATTTCACATCAATATAACTTAGAGTTCATTTAAAAATAACATAATTTTTTTTTAAATCATCAGGATTTAAAATTGTGTCTGTTTTGTTTCTAAAAGTACAAAAAAATGATCAAATAAACTTTAGAAAATGTGCTGCTTTTCTAGAGTTATTTTTATAACTGGGTAGGTAAAATAAACACAATAAAAGAGCAATCTAAGAAATCTAGAAACATCTTTCTAAATAAATAGTGAAGTGACTATCCAGAGAAAGAATGCTGTAGACTTCTGAATATCTATATATTTATAATTTGTATCATATCTTTTTAAAGCCAGGGCAAATTTTAAGTAATTAAGGCATATATTTGTGACCAGGTAGTTTGGGGGGGGGCAGTAGGGACCTATATATCAGATCTGTAATAATGATTAAAGGTTAGCATCATTGCAGATAACTAAC